TATCACACGAGATGTTTTTTAATAATAATAATAAAAAAAACGAAACGAAACGATAAATAAATTTTAAATCGATATCGGTTAAATACCTCGCAAAATATGCCGAATAACGCATTCTAATTGATGGTAATGTAATTAAATTCGATCCTATCGAATAGAAATCATCATTCATCAATCGTTCGAGAAGTAAATGAACGATAAGAGGCTTACATTATTACATTATCATTTTATTCTGACGAATAAAGACTTTTATCATACGGTCAAATGACAAATAGATAAGTAAGGTAAAATTCGAATTGATATTATTATAAATAAAGTTAATAAACGATCACACACCCCTTTTTTTGCAAATGATGTTTTGTAATGTTTATTAAAAAAAAAAAAAAAGAAAGAAAGACAAAGATTATTACAAATAAATAAAGAAAAATATTACAAATTCCACAAGCAACGAGACAAGAGAGAGAGAGAGAGAGAGACAGAGAGAGAGAGAGAGAGAGAGAGAGATAGCACCATGTTCCTTAAGTGGACATGCATGTATCATATATATATATATATATGTGTGTGTGTATATATGTGAAATAATATATGTGTGTATTAAGTATGTATGAGTTTATCTCTCTCTCTCTCTGTCTCTCTCTCTCTCTCTCTCTCTCTGTCTCTCTCTCTCTCTCTGTCTCTCTCTCTCTCTCTCTCTCTCTGTCTCTCTCTCTCTCTCTGTCTCTCTCTGTCTCTCTCTCTGTCTCTCTCTGTCTCTCTCTCTGTCTCTCTCTCTTTCTGTCTGTCTGTTTCTTGTTCTTTCGTATAATCGTTTTTTTTTTATTCTGTTTCTTTCCTAATTCTTTTTCTATGTTTTCCTTCGCGTGACCATGGGATACACCTGGAGATCTCTATCAACGTGTTTTCTACATAATATGGCTACCAGAGTTCCTATGGTGCATGGTCTTCTCGTGCTTGGAGAGATCCACGAGACCACGACCTTACTTAATCTCAAACATCTTACGAGTTAACGATATGTTCCTTATTATATAATACATATGTAAACACACGCATCCACTTACTCTCACACACACACACACACACACACGATTATTCCATTGATATTTTTAGAAAAATTATCTATCAATGTATAATTATATTATAATAATATTAATAATAATAAATAAGTAAATTGTGCTTTATCGGTGATCCTAAATTACAAAAATGTACGATTAGGTGGTGATTATAAATGAAATTAATTATTTTAATTAAAATTATATATATACATACATATATGTATATTAAAAATAATTAGTGAATATAATTGAGAGGGTCAAATGTTTTAACAGATATATTCATTATTTTCTAGAAATTAAATTGAAATAAAATGAACAACCGATACGTTGCAGTTGTCAAATAAAATAATTGCAAATGAAATTATAATTTAGAGAAAAAGGTGTCAAAATATTTTTCACTTGCATACTTTTGCACAAAATTAATTAATATAAATTAATCTAAAAAAAAAAAAAGAATTTTCTACAAATTAAATTGAAATAAAAGGAACAATCGATACGTTGCAGTTGTCAAATAAAAAAATTGCAAATGAAATTATAATTTAGAGAAAAAGGTGTTGAAATATTTGTCACTTGCATTCTTTTTCATAAATCAATTAATATAAATTAATTTATCTATTTCAAAGATTAAAAAAAAAAAAAAAAATTAATGAACAAGAAAAGATAAGGCAAAGGGAAAGGGAAAGGAATAAAAATGAGATGTATAGTAAAAGTAGTAAATTGTAACATTTCTAAGATCCAGTCTACTCCGTCTTTTGCTCGATAAAGTCCGAGGAAGAAAATTGCGCAGTCGTGTGTACTATTTCGGACAATCTCGTATTAAATTTAGACGAGTGCACCGTCTTAGATCGAGTGAACCTCCACGGAACGTCACGCCCTTGGAGCGAGTCCAATCGTCTTGAAGCTTCTTTAAGGATTTACACATATATATATATATATAAATATAACTCGTGTATAATAACTATTCTAATATAAGTATAGTATATTAAAGTATTAAAATAATTGTTAATTAATCAATGGAAATGTGTATTGATGTTTAAAAGCTCGAATTATATGTCAGGAGTACTGTCCTCTTCGAAATTCACCTTCAGACTGATACGTTGTCATCTGTGGAAATACTTTTATTCAATGCTACATGTGTGTAATGTGATAATATTCTTAATTAATAGAATTTAAGATTACAATGTTTAAATTTTTGTCATTTTTTGTAATATAATGCAATTATTTTATCGCTCATGCGCAGTGATGAAGGTGAAAGGGTGTAAGTTCGAAGGTGAAAGKTACGTGTAATGTAAGTAGGATGTATTAGAATACTAAAATAATTGTTAATTAATCGAAAGGAATGTATATTATTCTTTAAAAACACCAAGTATATGATCGGTGTACCGTCCTCTTCGAAATTCACCTTCAGACTGATACGTTACTCTCTATCAAAATTCTTTTATTGAATGTTGTTTATATGACATTTCGAAAGTCGCGCATGTGTCTAACGTTAATAATATTCTTCATAAATCGAAATTAAGAATACAACGTTCTCATTTCAATATTTTTATCATTCTAATGTATTTATTTTATCGCTCATGCGCAGTGATGACTTTGAAGGTGAAAGTTATGTGTAATGTAAGTAAGATGTATTAGAATACTAAAATAATTGTTAATTAATCGAATGGAATGTGTATTATTCTTTAAAAACACCAAGTATATGATCGGAGAACCGTCCTCTTCGAAATTCACCTTCAGACTGATACGTTACTCTCTATCAAAATTCTTTTATTGAATGTTGTTTATATGACATTTCGAAAGTCGCGCATGTGTGTAACGTTAATAATATTCTTCATAAATCGAAATTAAGAATACAACGTTCTCATTTCAATATTTTTATCATTCTAATCCAATTATTTTATTATATTCCTGCATAGTGATGACTTCAAAACTAAACTATTACTATAATAAAAGTTAGAGTGCATTAGTACATTAAAATAATTGTTAATTAATCAATACAAGTGTCTATCGTTTTCCAACATCGAGTGACTTTTCGAAATTCATTTTATTCATCCCCAAACGTTTTTATCTTTTAACAAATCTTTCCACAAATTGCTATGCTTGAAACTTTTCAGTTCATAGTACCAATTAATAATAATAATAAAAATTACAAATGGGATATCCTCAAATATGAAATTGGGTGTGCTGATCTTCCTGGCGTCATCGAAATCGACGACTATGATGTCGGTGGACCTTTGGATTGATTCCAATTGTCCGAACTGCGCCAATTTCTTGTGTGAAAATCATTCCGTATCCATTACAAGATAAACCACGTCAAATAGTGTTTGAGATTTGAACTGAACCAATTTTATACATCAGACTATTAAAACGTATTATGACACATGGAAATGTGTTAAGGTGCACGTATTAAACGTTTATTTGTATTCGTGTATTAGTAATTGGTATAATTTTAATATCCTATTTTGAACAAACGTGAAAATAGATAACTAACATTAGTCATAGAAATGAGAAGATTAATGATCGTTAATTTTCTTCAAGAAAATCTTCACATATATATTTTTAGAATTCATTCGTGTATCTGTGTATCTGTGTGTGTGTGTGTGTGTTTAGTATAATAACGTTTAAAGGATGGTCTCTCATTAATTACTCAAGTAAATCATAACGAGAAAGCGACCTTAATGTTAGCAATATAAGACTGGTAATCTGTTCATAAGGTTCTTCCTTGTATTTAAAGAGAGAAAGAAGAGAGTGAGTGAGAGAAAGAGAGAGAAAGAGAGAGATAGAGACCCTCATTTGTAGTTAAAATCAATAAGGAAGCATCCACCCTCGATGGTTTCATCAAGTCCGATGAAGAAGAGAACTCTGAGTTGCGTAGGCGTTAATATATGCATTCGAATAGTTAGATCTTACAGAAGATAAATTTGAAAAGATGGATGAATTGATTTTGTAATAAGAAGATGAAGAATAACACGACGATTGAAATTGATCGCGTTTCATAGTTTAATATGGAAATTATTTTTTAATAAAAAAAGAACTATAATATTTGATATTTTTACATTTGTAAATGGAAGCTTGAAATATTTTGTATTAATCAAAGTAACAACGGTAAATAATTGTTGTTAATATTAAAAAAAATAAGTGTGAACATTATTCAAATGACCAACCAAACCGTGTTGTACTCTTTAGTATACTAAAGGTGAAACGGATTTAACGTTCACGTTAACTCTTGGGAGGATTAATAGTCTTGAAACGTTTCTTCGTGAAGATCGAGTGATCGTAAATCACTGGTAACAAGTATAGATAAAATCGAGTCATGTATTTTAACGGAATTTGCGTTAAGATCTATTAGATTTCAAATGAAACATGCACGATTTAATTAATTTACCTTTATGTTCATTTTAATTTAACATTAACTTTTGATAATTGATAAGAGATAATATTCATTTTGAAACAACCACAATTGCATTCATTTATTCCTTTTCAATTCTCATTAACCCTTTAAGTGGATCTCTGGCANGGGGGGGAAGGGGCGTGGCATAGCAATTCGACCTATCTACTCTAATTTTGAATTAAGCCACCAGATAGCGTATTCAAGTGATAGAGATCCCACCACGTGGCGTTGCAATTTGACCTATCTACTGTAATTTTGAATTAAGCCACCAGATAGCGTATTCAAGTGCTAAAGATTCCAATACTTAATTTTGTATTTACCAAAAATGACGATATATGATTGAGAAAATGAAATTAAAAATTAAGGAAAAAAAAGAAAAGAAAAGACAGTAATATGAAAAAGAAGTTTGAGAAATTGATAAAAATGTCATACGACGCAGAAAAAATGTGCCAATTTATCCTATCGACTAATATAATAATTTCTTCTTTCTGTGTTTCCTTTTTGTTTTGTTTTTTTTTTTGACTTCATATAACACGATTTTTATTTATTACTCGACATACGTGATATTTCCCTGATAAGGTAGTCACAATCAGCGTCACCTTGTCTGTCATCGTGTGTCATCTCGCTCGTATTTTGGATCACTGCTAAATAAGATCAGAGTGCACGTAACGTATGTCTTCCATGACGGTCAAATTTTCTAAAAATGTTTTTGAATTATCAACGAATATATTATATTTGACAAAACAACAAATTTATTTATAACTCTAATTAGAAATTCTTTTCCTTTCTTCCCCTCGCTCGCTCTCTCTCTCTCTCTCTCTCTCTCTCTCTGTTTCATTACATTTGTTTATTTCTATTTATAATCGTTTATTAAAAATAACTAAAACAAATCATCCGATTATACAAACATGAAACGATAAACAACAAATTATGCGTTTTATTTTTAATATTCTGTTTTTTTTTTTTTTAGCTCACTTAATAACCCCTTTCGAAGATTATGTCTACAAAAATAACAGATATTGTGACAAACAAAATGATATTAAGAAAAAAAAAAAAAGAAAAAAAAAAAAAAAAAAGACGATATTTTTTTTTTCTTTCGTGCACGTTAGTTCCGCGATTTAGAAATAACTGGAATATTTTTGAAGATTCGACTAAACTAATTATCTTTATATATATATATATATAATTTTTTTTTTTTTTTAAGAGAGAGAGAAAGAGAGAGAGAGTGGAAATTTTTGTAAATATAATAATTAAAGATTAGTTCATTTTTAAAATCGACTAATTGGGCAAAAAAAAAAAACAAAAAAAAAAGTCTATGAAATTGATAAAGTCATAATACACATAATTTATTATCCAACGGTATAATAAAAAATACTTTATCATTAAACGACATTAAAGAAGAAGACTTTTTTTTTCTTCTCTTATCGAATTAATTTATCTTTAATATAAATAGTAAAAAAAATTTAATTCCCTCCCCCCCCTCCCCGCCCCGATCGATTAATTCTTATTTCTACGAAAAAATTTGTCCAATATATTTTACAAAATAAAAAGAAGAACAAAAGAAAAAAAAAACAAATGTTCAACAATTTATATTTAATTAAAATCAAATTGTAGAATATTTCTTATAAAAATTATATTATATATTAAATTATATATTATTATTTAATTTAATTTAATTAATTAATTAAATTTATTATATTTAATAAAATAATATATTTAGTAAATAAAATGTTTATTAATTTAATTAAATTTATCTATTAAATTATGTTATATATTAATTTATATATTATGTATATACACACATATTTATTATATATTATATTTCAATTACAAATTATATTTAAATTATATTATAATATATTAAATTATATATTATTATTAAATTTAATTAATTAATTAATTAAATTTATTATATTTAATAAAATAAAATATTAATTAATTTAATTATTCGATACAANTTTTTAAATTTTACATCTTATTTTTTATTGATATCTATTTTATTTATAATCCTATGATTTAAAAAAAATATATATATATATATAATTCCACGTGTGTTTATATTCGAAAAAACACACAAGTAAAACATATGTTAACAAACGTATTACGTACACATCTAAGAAAAGAATATTAATGATCCTTGAAAGGAAATTTCCAAAATGTATTATGCATTACGAAATTCTTTGTCGGCATTTCTTCTCTTCTTCTTCTTCTTCATCTTCTTCTTTTTTTATTTCTTTGACTACTTTTTAATATACAAATATATGTCGTCAACAGTTCTTAGTAATAAAAGACAACAAGTCTGACCTGTCTTTCAGAACACTTGTTCATCGTCAATGATGTTCAAACGTGGTAAATTAAACACGATATCAAATATAGATTCGCGTGTATCGTAAATAGAAGCAAAACCGGTTCTTAAATTTCGCTTCTGATCAGACGACGAGTGCGTGACAGCTCTCAACAGGAACAAACTTTTACACACACACACACAATAACGTTTAACTTAATATATATAGTCATCGAAAGTCCAATATACAAGTAAAGCAAATGGTGCTGGTGGTCCCCTACCTAATCCATGAGAGATTTTATTTATCTATATCAGTAAAGAAATAAACTAACGAAGTTTATTACTTAACCTAATTTCCGTTTATTTTAACTTTTATTAACAACAAGTTAATATACCTTTATTTATTTATTATTTTTTTTTTATACGGCACTGTTGATTTTTATATTTCGGTTTTAGAAAATTGATTGGAAAGTTTAATGGTCAATTAAATTTTAGAAAATTTCTTTTTTAATTCTTTACCAAAAAAAAAAACATAAATTGAAACGTGTGTGAGTGTGCGTGYGTGTGTGTTTATTCGTGTGCATTTGTGTTATTTTTTATTTGTCAATTGGTTGAACACTCTTGGTTTTTATATATTTGTTTTACAAAATTACTTGGAACATTTAATAGTTAATTTAAATTTACGAATTTCTTTTTAATTCTTTACACACAATACGTGTGTGTGTGTGTATATATATATTCGTGTGCATTTGTATAATTTTTTAATTCGTCAATTGTTAATATTTTCTTCTCAATTTTCCACGAGTTCTAAACTGTTGGGATATTACAATAATATAGGTAAGTTTAAATAACACAATAATATTATTATATTGATGAGGCACAAAACCAAAAAATCAAATTATACCTAACCATTGAAAGAAACGGTGTTGAAGGGGGGAAAAAAAAAAAAAAAGAAAAAGTGAATTGCGTCGGCCCTTGAACCTCAGATTTCTCTGAGGTTCTCTTCGTTCGGTTTTACTCAACTTGAAAGACCAGCGAGCCCCGTACGTAGCATTATTTGCCTCTTCTTAACTCCTCAGTTCGACGAACCGTACAAGAACGTTTCGGAGTCAATGCTCGGAGAGGCCCTTTTACAACAGCAGCAGAATGTCAAACAAAAATGTCAGACATCTTCTTTTTTCTTTTTCTTTTTTACTTTCTCTATTCTCTATTTCTATATTCATTATTTACTAAGTCACGTCAATTTTAAACATTTCATTTGACATACATTCGATTTCAAATCATACATTTAACCCATCGTACAAAAACTCTGATGCAACCTTGACGAAGCACCTTTTTCTTTTTTTTTTTCTTTTTTTTTTTTATTAAGATGAAAAAAAAAAACCTTCATAAGCAGCACAGAACTCTGATGCAATTATTTGCATATTTTTTTTTTTACTATTTAAAAATCATTTTATCTTTAAGGTGTTTTATGTATTCCCATTCAACGTGTAAATTGAATGATTGACACATGTCAAATGTTTATCAATAATTTATAATAAATGGTGAGGAGGATATTTATTACTTCCTTCTTCCTCGTAGAAAATTCTAATGACGTTTGTACTTTCGTTAAATGAGATTATGGTGCCATCGTGTTATGGCGATCCCTGGAAGATCGGATTTATAGGTCAGACGTACATTTTAACAAGTAGTAACATAAGCGAGCATATGCGAGAAATGCGATCCACCAAGAAGAAAACGGACACTTGCTTTCGCACCTCTCTCTAATTCTACGTCTACTTCTACACTTCTACACTTCTACATTTCTACATTTCTAATTCTGTTTCTACTTTTCACTCTTATTACGTTTTAATATCATCGATATTTCAAATTCTATTCCAATTGGGATCTCTAGCGTTTGAATACGCTATCTGGTGGCCTAATTCAAAATTAGAGTAGATAGGTTAAATTGCTACATCACGTGGTGGGATCTCTAGCACTTGAATACGCTACCTGGTGACTAAATTCAAAATTAGAGTAGATATGTCGAATTGCTACGACGTCACGTGGGATCTCTAGCACTTGAATACGCTATCTGGTGACTAAATTCAAAATTACACTAGATAGGTCGAATTTTGCTACGCCACGCCTCCTGCCAGAGATCATCCCAATATATTTTATTTATTTCCAAAAAAAAAAAAAAAAAAAAACAGAAATTAAAATCATTCATCAAAATGTTCAATTCTAATAAAATGTAAATTGTATAATAAAAATATTAGATTGGGAAAGTAATTTCGTTGTTTCTTGACACAATTTTGAAATTAATTAATGCAAATTGGCAAAAATAACAACAACACGTGAAATCGTTGAGAGTTTAAATTTATCAAATTAAACTATTTAAACCTACTCGAAAATCCTAAGATTAGTTTAACCTCGAAATAAAAATTGTCTTCATTTTTACAAAAAATAAAACATAATTACTTTACGAACAATCCAATATGAAAAGAAATTAATCAAAACGTTCATAAAAAACATTTCTTCGATATATATTTTGTTATTATCTCAATGATAGTTTTATTACTAAAGTAATAAAAATAATCATTGAAAAAAAAAAAAGAAAAGCTGATATATCGTGTAATATAGAAAGAGAATATTCATTAAATGATAAGATAAGTAATTTAAGTTGCATAAGAAATTGATTTCTTACTCTAAGAATCCTTTTTTTTATTATTATTATTTTTCTTTAATTCAAATGTATGTTTTCTATCAGCGATTATCATTGACACGGAAAACGCATATATAACAGTGACTTGTGTTAATGTTCATTACTTTCTTCTCGTGGTACCATTTTTTTTCAAAACGTTTTATGCGATAAACGTAACAACACTCGTCCTACTTTTAACAAATATTTAAAAAAGCCCAGGAATGTTAAATGAATTATATATACTATAAGTGCCCCGGCACGCGTTGCTGTGGCTCACAATCAGTCCGATAAATAATAAAATAATATTGCTATTATAAATTGAGATATAAACTATCCTATCTTTCAAGTTGGATAAAACTGCACACAGTGTGCAAAATTTGATTAAAATCGGTTCAGTAGTTTAGGAGTCCATTGCGGACAAACAACGTGACAAGTAATTTCTATTATATACTAGGAGTGCCCAGGCACGCGTTGCTGTAGCTCACAATCAGTCTGATACACACGTCTTTAAGTCAACGAATTACCTTATATCGCCCTCTGTTAGAATCTGATCGAATTAACAGAGGTAATCATGACTCTTTGTTAATAAACAAATAATATTGCGATTATAAATTGAGATATAAACTATCCTATCTTTCAAGTTGGATGAAATTGCACACAGTGTGCAAAATTTGATTAAAATTGGTTCAGTAGTTTTGGAGTCTATTGCGGACAAACAACTTCACACTGA